ATTTATAGCTCCAATGGCCTCATCAGTATATCTTATATGGATGGATAACTCAGAAAGAGATTTTACAAAAGTGATATTAAATACCTGAATTAACTTAGGAAGTTAGATCCCAAATCAAAAGGAATGTCATTTATATCAAGTATTATCTATTTAGTTGAAAAAATGTCTTCAGTATTTACTTTGCCTTACAGGGTGTTTTTTTTTTTTTTTCCATTTTGCAGAAAAAACACAAAAGGATATATTATCCATTCCCTTCGACAACTGACAACAATTAGAAGTGAAAAAAAATGTGTGTTCCTGAAATAAAATTCTTCTTAAGCATTACTTTAGAGTAAAATTGTTTTGACACCTGCTCTACTGGGAGAATACCCTAAGTAACATATCTTTGCAGACTTTGAGACATCTATGTGTTTACATTTAAACTTAATGCACAAACTTATTTCAAAGTATACCTCTAGGCATGAGTGTGGGAAACAGCATGCTGTCAGGGCACTATCTTTCTCACTTACAAGGTTATCAAATGGTATGTACTCAAATGAAAGTTTACGTTCCGTGACAGTTTCATTTTCACCAAAGGATGTGCAGTTAAGTACACAAAATACTGCAGCCCAGCTGAAGATTTCACTCCTGTAACAGAGAACATAATACTTTTCCCTTTGACCTTAAAGGTTGTGGTGACCAAGATGTGACCAAATATTTGACTTTTAACCCAATATAAATTTTCAGCTGTGTTAAATTCACCTGTACACAAAGGACACCTATTCCTTCTGAAGCAACAGCTGAGGATTTAAACAGTCTTTTCACCTCGGGCTGCTCCCAATCTAGAGGTTAAAAAAAGAAAGCAGTCAAAGGTGTTCTGTCAATATGCTGATGCAGTCGTATGTTAAATTCTGGTAACACTGAAATAACGTTATGTTCTAGCATTTATATATGTGTAGAGAAATCCATTATAATTTGTGAACAAAATTCAGAATTCCATTTTATCTCACATTGCTTGGAATTAGATTAGGTTGTTATCCTAAACAACCAATCTCCACATTTTTCCCCTTAACTGATATAAACATATGATGAAAAAGTGTATTTCTTGATACAGAAAAGTAACTGAAAAAAATTTTCATGTTCACAGTTGTTTTTCTAAGCCTTATTAGAGTCACATACCTTCCCCCCCACCCCGTTGATCCACATGTCATTACACCCAGGAATACTATTGTGTCTGAAGTAGAAAACTAATTGCTTATATTGAATTATATGCTTGTGATGTTGAATGGCTATGTACAAAACCATGCAGCTTAATATCCTTATGATATAACATTCAGATTTAATGCAGGAAAAACATTATTAGAATATGCTTAGTGCATGAAATATATAAACCAGAAAATAACAATTAAAGCAGTTCTTACAGTTATTTGATCTTAGACTCCATTACAGCTTCTGCTCAAATGCCATTATACATGCCTCCCCCCAACAGAATTCAAACAGAATTGTAAGCAAAATAAATATCGATGTGCAATATGTTGAAGAGGGAATACTATTTCCTTTAGAGTAATAAAAACAGTGTACTTCAAAAATAGAAAGCTATTTTACACAAAATCAGGACTACTCTCTTTGGTCCATGTTGAACATTCAGAACTGGTTAAATTATTGGTTTCTTTTAAAAAAATATCAACACCAAAGTTCAAATTTTATCACTAGTTGTGGTACACAGATTAGTTTCATAAACTCAGAATTACCCACAAAATGAAAGACAGTAATTATTTGGAAGATTTATTTCCTGCAATATAACTGGCATTTTTGAGTCAGAACAATTTTTTTTGATCTGAGGAATAAGCCAAACCAACCAGAGCACTGACAAATGTTCCTTAACTGCCTCCCAAGATGAGAACCAGAAGACGAACCATCTCAAGAGTATGTATGCTGATGCACACAGCCTGGGGAACAAACAGGAGGAACTAGAGCTCTGCACCCAGTCAAAAAATTATGATATCACAGAAATAACTGAAACACAGTGGGCGAACTCATGTGACTGGAGGATCACAATAGATAGCCATAGGCTGTTTTTTAAAGAGATGTAAGGAACAAGAGGTGGAGGAGTTGCTCTCTATATTAAGGAGAACCTTGAATGTGTAGAATTCAACTACAGTGACTGTGGGAGCCCTATTGATTACCTCTGGGTCAAGATCAGAGGGGTCATCTCCAAGGAGAATCTTACAGTAAGCATCTGTTCCCAAACTCCAAAACAAGACAATAAGGCCAACAAAGCAATATTTGGGTCAATTAAGTAAGCTTCAGGTCAACAGAACCTGGTTCTTATGGATGAACCCAGATATCTGTTGGAAGAACAATACAGCAGCTCACATGTCATCCATCAGGTTCCTGGAATGCATAGGGGACTGCTTCCTCATCCAAATGTTAGATGTGCCAATCAGGAATGAGGCACTGCTGGACTTGATACTCAAAATCAAGAAAACCTGCTTTATAATATCTCTGTTAGATATAGCTTTGGCTGCAGTGATCACAGTACTGTGGAGCTCGGGATCCTGCTGAATATGCTGGAGGTTAGTACTAAGACAAAGGTTTTAGATTTTAGAAGATCAAACTTGAGCTCGCTCAGAGCTCCGTTGGGAGGGATACCATGGGAAGCTTCCATGGAGGATAAAGGAGCTAGTGAGTGCTATGAGTTTTTCTAGAACACTTTCCTGGAAGCACAAAACCAGTTCATCCTCTTTAAAGTTAAGGGAAGTAGGTGGAGCAAGAGACCCCCTTGGCTTAATTGCAAGTCTGCTCAAAACCAAGAGAGAAGTATAGCAGAGATGGAAAAGCAGATGAATATGCATTGAGAACTACAAGGGCATTAACAGGGTGTGCAGAGATGCAGTTAGAAAAGCAAAAGCTCAGCTCAAATCAAAATTGGCCAGAGATGTCAAAAACTACAAGAAAGGGTTCTTCAGGTACATAAACAACAATGAACAGAAGGAAAATAATGGCCCACAGTTAAACAGGAGAGGTGAATTAGTCCCCAGCAATGCTGAAAAGGCAGAGGTTCTCAACGCTTCTGTCACCTCTGTCTTTACCAGCACTATTGGGCCCCAGACGCTGGAAATAAAAATCTGGGTCAATGTAAACACAGACCCACTGTTAGTGAAGGAAGAGCTGGTAAGTGACTATTACAGGAGCTTGACCCCTACAAATTGATAAGCGCTAACGTTATCCACCTAAGGATGTTAAGAGAGCTGGCTGATGTCATTGCAAGGCCAGTCGTGAAGATCAGGGGACATCCCAGATGACTAGAAGATGACTAATGTCACCCTCATCTTACAAGAAGGGCTTACAGGAGGATCCAGGAAATTATACGCACATCAGTCTTACTTCAGTCCCTGGGAAGGTTATGAAACGAATCCTCCTGGGGGCTATCACAAGTCAAATGACACATGTGATTGGGAAAAGCCAGCACAGATTCATTAAGGGTAAATCATGATTGACAAACCTGATGACCTTCTAGGATAAAGTAACCTGCTCGATTATTGTCTACCTGGATTTCTCCAAGGCTTTCAATACAGTTCTTCACAACTGCCTCCTAGAGAAACTGATGTGTTACGGTCTAGACAAGGGGTCTGTGCAGTGGGTGGGCAACTATCTGATAGGTTGCACACAGGGGGCAGTGGTGGTGGTAAAGAGCTCCTTTTCAAACCAGCAATCTGTCCCCAGGGTCTGCCAGGGACCAATATTGCACCCAATACTTTTTAGTATCTTCATAAGTCATCTGGATGATAGGATCAAGTGTACCCTGGTGAAGTTTGCCGATGATACTAAACTGAGTGGGGAAGTGGACACTTTGGAAGGGAGAGCCGCCCTGCAGGAAGACCTGGATAGGCTGGAAGAGTGCCTAACAGGAACCTTATGAAATTCACCAAAGACAGGTGTAAAGTCTTGCACCTGGGAAAACATAATCCAAGAGTGCAGCACAGACTGGAATCTACCCACCTGGGGAACAGCTCTGTGGAAAGTGACCTGGGGGTCCTGGTGGGCAGTGCTCAATATGAGGGAACAGTGTGCTGCTGCAACAAAGAAAGCCAACAGGATGCTGAGCTACATCAACAAGAGCATCACTAGCAGAGACATAGAAGTCATTATCCCACTCAACTCAGCACTTGTCAAGCCACACCTGGAACACTGTGTTTAGTTTTGGGCCCTGTTATATAAAAAAAAGATATGGAGAGGCTGGAGAGGATCCACAGAAGGACCATAAAGACGATCAGAGGACTGGGAAGCCTGCCATGTAAGGAAAGGCTGAGAGAACTGGGTTTGTTCAGCCTTGAGAAGAGAAGGTTTAGGGGAGACCTTGTCACCATGTTCTGGTATTTAAAGGGTGGCTACAAAGAAGATGGAGACTCCCTTTTACAAGGAGTCACATGGAAAAGATGGGGGATAATGGGCACAAGTTACTGCTGGGGAGATTCTGATGGGACACAAGAGGAAAATTCCTCACAATGAGAACAATATACCATTGGAAAAATCTCCCCAGGGAAGTGGTGGATTCCCCAATGTTAGACACTTTTAAGATTCAGCTGGACAGGGTGCTAGGCCATCTTGTCTAGACCATGCTTTTGCTAAGAAAGATTGGACCAGATGATTCTTGAGGTCCCTTCCAACCTGGTATTCTATGATTTTTATGATCATTGGAATGATAATTTATGATTATTTATCAAATTCGAAGTGTGTGGAATGTTTAAATCTTTAACCGCAGCAGCTTCTAACAGAGCAGCAGAAGCTACACCCAGTAAACTCTTGACTATGTAGAAAGGCAAGCACTTGCTGCAACTGCTACAGCACTGCACACAGAACATAGTGCAGGCATTAGAAACGTTCTTTTTTAAGGCAGATTTTTTTGTGTGTTTTGTTTGTTTGTTTGTAG